AATGTACGCACTTAATGAAACAAGCCACCACAGTTTGAACTGCTGCTACATGTTTATGATATATTTCAGCTGTGTTAGATATACATGTTGCCTTTGCCCTTTTCAGCAGTGAAGCCCACACTATGGAACTGAATGTCCCGGGATGTGTGTGACACCAGCAGCAATTAACCAGACAGTCCTGATAATCAGCTATTAGATTAAAAACAATATATATATATATTTGTTTGTAGATTATAATATACATTTACATTCATTTCAAACAAGCAATCCTTAAACTGAAAGAAAAAAAACAAATATATTATTATCCGGTTATCACAGATTACAGCAGATCAGCCTTGTGCGTGAGGGCGCGGTTTGTGTGTGTGTGGGTGGTGTGTGTGTGTGTGTGGGTGGTGGGGGTGTGGGAGGCAGGGGGGTTGGTTCTGGGATATGCATCTCTGCGTTTCGCTTTGGTGCAGGAACCAAGACTGCTCCACCTCGGGCTTCTGCCCCTCTTTATAAGGCACAGTTACAAGGTCGGCCTTGTTCCTCCCTTCTCTGCAGTGCTGCTATTGAAATGGGGTGTGGAAAGGTTAATGCACACAGGGCACGGACATATTTTTGAAACTTCCAGTTAATCACAGTGGGGAAACCCACTTTGTTATCCGTTAGTCGTTATCAACCTATGTCTCTGAATCCATAGGTCTCTCTACCCCTGTACTCCCTTTAAAACGATGCCGTCTAATTCCCTGTCTATAACCTTGCATCTATGCTTGTAACCACTTTAATTAAATCGGTCTTCTCTCTTTCATCTACATTTTTGTTTTTCGTGAAAAGGCTTGATCTTCGCTTCCCAGGCAATTCTGTCAATTAAGGTTAAGCAAATGTGTTGTTGAACTCGCTGACATTCCTTGTTCACATTCTTCTACATATATCCTTTTGGGAGGACTCCTGTGCGAGAAACGTGTGGGAGGATTCAGTGGAAAGGCTCAGATGAACAACTCCTTTTGGGAGGACTACATGTTGTGAGGACTCCACGTTGTGAGGAGCCTTGGTTGGAACCATTCCTTGTTGGGAAGAACCCATATTCGAAGGTCTCTTGTTGGAGGATTCCCGGTGGGAATAATCCTTGTTGGGAGCACTCCTGGTTGGGAGGACCCCTTGTAGTGATGACCCACAGGTTTGGAGGACACAGACAAACATGTGTTCTTTAATAGTATAGATTAAAGTAGAAAAATAATAATCCTTCCATTTGCTAGAGCAGTTTTCAGGTGTTTTACAAGTTGCAAAGTGCTTCCCAGAGTATACTGTGATGTGCATTGACTGTATATTTATGGGCGATATCCGACGGAAAATTGGACACAGCAGTGTTCCACTGATTGCTTAGTATTGGACTGAGTGACTAAATTGTAAATTTTTTATACTTGTCGGTTTAATATCAGGCAGTTAGGATGAGGAAACTTATACAAGGTTTCGCCCTACCGGGAATCGTACCTCGGTCTCTCGCTTGCGAGATGTGTGTTCTAACCACTGAGCTACATAACTCCAGATAAGTGCATCTCTCAGAAGAATGTGTGTCATCTGTCGCCACTTTATTGCAGAATACCACGCACACTTCTTTGGGGGCTTGAAGAATTTTTTAATATACTTTTTATTATAGCTTATATAGGAGATAGGAAATCCTCCCCCCCAAATGCCCACGTTGCTCCCCCTTGCGAGACCTCTCCGATGAGGTGTAAATCATATCTATGCCTCATTCGTTCAATGCTTTCTTGGGAGACACGCAGACCGGCATTTTGTTTTTGTTAGCATGGAATGGCTCTCATCAATCTTCCTCCAAAAATGCATCTACTCACACTTCTCCACATTAAACGTCATCTGCCGCATGTCTGCCCGTTTCAACTGTCTGTCTATATCCCCCTCACATCCTCTACCATCCACTTCACTCTTCACCACGTTCCATACTTTAGTGCAATCTCCAAAATTTTAAACGTCGCTTTTGATAATCAAGTCATTCACATATACAAAAAAGAGCAGTGGACCTAAAACCGACCCCGGGTGCACGAGAGTCTGGAAAACAATCATTTGCTACGTATTATATGCTTTCTGTCTCGCAGCTAATTTTGCATCGTTACTTTGCCAGAACACCAGGTTACTCAACACAAGTGACACAGAGATTCAAAGTAAATAGTCCATTATGCAAACACAAGCATCAACAGTGTCTGCATTAATTTTGATAATATATCATCACTGTTTTTTCCAGCATAACAATCAAAGTGTTTACAACCCACAACAACACCAAACTCCAAATAGAGAAAGCCCTCCTTACGAACCCCACTATTTCGCTTTCTCTTTTGCTGGTAACTTTTTTATTGGTGGCAAATCTCCTCCCCCCTGTACGTATACATTGATGCAGTCGACTCGATATTGATTTCACTGGGAACTGCGCTGAGCCTCTCCACTCCTCCAACTATTTCAAATAATCATAGAAATATACAGGACAAAAAGAGACCATTCGGCTTTGTCAGCAAAATAAAATTACATCTTTCTTTACGTGTTTTTAACTTCGGTTGCTCTCTTCACAGAAATAGCCAACACACTACACATGCTGCTTTGCAGAGATAGGGAGATATGGACAGCTTCTGTGAAGCCTCCCACCGCCTGTTTGTTTCTCACTATTGAGATAGGCAGATGGAGGCTGCAGTATTTTAAACAGAAGTTGACTTCATCCGGTCCAGCAACGGAACTTTAACCCCTCCTGAACTAGTCGTTAAACCAAACAAACCTTATCAAAAGCTTATGGCTATACTATATTCTAAACGGTTACAAAGATTAATTTGTAGTTGTAAAAACATTAAACATCACAATTATAACTGTACAATGACCAAAGGCAACAGCAAAATTGCATTTTTATAGCCCATTTCCAAGTCGTTGTATGATGAATACTTCGGATTGAGCTGGGGGACGGGATTGTGGAGGGTGTAGGGCAACGGCGGAAGGCGGCTGATCCAAGACGCGGTCGAAAAGGAGGGTCTTTTGTGATATTAATATTTATTTTTTGGCTATAGTACCGGATTACAGATCGCCACAACGGCTGATATGAATCCGACATTCCTTTGCCAGGCATATTAACCTGGAAGCATTTCAGCTCCAAGGATACCCTTCTTACACAGGTAGCCCCATAATAATTATAACTATTATTATGCTCCTTTGCTGAGCGGCTAAGGTAAGTAAGGAATAGTGTGGCGGGATCTAGTTGTGGAATGTGAGAGCAGTCAAGTGTCCTGAACAAACGCAGCTCTGTACGGTGATGGTAGGAAGGAAAGTGTAAGTTCTACAAAGATGATAAATAGGGCGAAGGCTCTTCTTTATCGAAACGAACTGGATGTTGCCATCACATACCGTGGAACCTAGTAAGGGTTCAGAGTGGTCATTATGTCACCAGAAGACGGGCAGAGAGACAAGCAGGCAGAGAGTATGTTTGTAAGTTACAGTGTCTGAGGCAGAACAAGAAGTTTACATTTGCTTGTTTCCTGCACAGGAGATCATCAGCTTTCAGAGCGATAGAGGCCAGAAGGCGGCAATTCACCCCCGTCAGCAACTGGACACAGAGAGCAGCACCCGGTAGGCTCAATGCATCAATTTCCTCAACGTGATTTACACTAATATTTAACGTCAGCACCAGGTCACTTTAGATCTGCAGATTTGTGGAGTCCTGTAGCTTACAACAACAGCTTACATTTACACAGCGCCATTCACACGGGGTAGCTCTTGACATTGGTATAGTCTGACCCCAAGCTGAGGCGAGAGGGAAGGGTGACGAGTTGTTAGCACAATCAAAAAAGAAAGTATTTAGGGAGGATTTGAAGTTGGGGGAGAGAGGGGCAGGCCGAGGGATTATTAGTATCCCAGCGCCTGGTTTCCTGTCTTTCTGTACAATCAATGAGACAGATGGAGAACAAGAAGCCGGGGCTTCAGTCCTTGATCGAATCTTGTTATACATCCAAAGATGCCATTTGGGATTGAATTACTGATGAATCCTGGTTTGGATTCCCAGAATCTTCATGTGGATACCGTAGTTTTTAGCACATGGCTAAACTCTTGTCTTCCAGTGTCATGGATGAAAATCCCTTAAATACAATTGTTTAATCATTTCAAGCTGTTCATAGGCCATTACTGTTTGGTAATTGGCTGCTGTATTTGCCCACAAAACCCCGTGAAGTAGTTAGTGATGACACCTTGATGTGAATGGTGCCATTTAAACGTAATAATAATAATTAGTGGTGATAATATTATTACAATACAAAATTACAAAATTACATCTGTTTATCGCCTTTCACCCAAGGTGCTGTCCTTGGCAATAGCAAAGGAAGAGTCATGTTAATTGCGAGATGTTGCTTTCAACAAATAGAACAAATGGGAGTCACAAAGCAGAGAGTGGTGGTGAACAGTTGTTTTTTCTGTCTGGAGAGAAATGTGCAGTGGTGTCCCCCATTGGGTTGGTATTGGGACCACTGATTTTTCATCTATGAAAATAACCGGGACTTTGGTATAGCAGTACAATTTCCAAGTTTCCAGATAATATTAAGCTAGGAAAATAAGTAACCAGTGAGGAGGATAGTAGCAGATAGCAAGAGGGAATAGACAGACTGGAAAAATGGACAGACACGTGGCAGGTGAAGTTGAATATGGAGAAATGCAATGTGGATGCATTTTGGAAGGAATAATGAGGAGAGGCAACATAAACTAATTCTAGAATCTTAAAGGGGATGAAGCAACAGAGAGACCTGGGGATTCATATCAGTAAATATTTGAAGGTAAAGATTTTTAAAAGCATAAAGGATACTATGCTTTATAAATAGGGGCATAGAATACAAAAGTCAGAAAACTGCCAACCTGCCCGTTCAGCGGCCTCTGGGCTGCTCCGAGTCTCCAGCCCGACCCGCCCTCGCATCGTTGGCCGGGCTTTCAGATGCTCTGCCCACACTCTGAATTTCACCCCACGATCCCTTCGCCTCGCTTCCTCCCTTGCTTCCTTCAAGGCCCGTCTCCACACCCTTCCCTTCGACCTTGCCTTTCGTCTCCCTCCCACCACTCTGCCTTCCCTCACCTATACCCATCCTCTCCCCCATGCTCTGGTCCCGACACCTGACTATTCAGCACATTAGCACGTCCTTCCGACGTGAAAGGCGCTCTATAAATGCAATTTTGTTGTTTTTGTAGTTGAAGTTATAATGAACCTTTATAAAACACTGGCGAGGCCTCAGCTGGACACTCTGTTGAGTTCTGCGCCACACACTTTAAGCAGGTATTGGAGTGCAAAGGAGATTTACTGGAATAGAACCAGTAAAGAGGTTATTCAGTTACCAGGAAGGTTAGAGAAGCTCGGATTTTGCTCCTTGGAGCTGATAAGATTAAGAGGAGAATTAATAGAAGTTTTCAAATTTAAAAGCGAATTCAGCAGGTTGTGCAATGAGAATTTATTACTACTGTCGATTACCTGAGCACATTGATGAAAAATAGTTTAAAATAAACAGAGGGGAGGTGAGTGGTATTTCTTTCACACAACGAATTGTTAGGATCTGGAATGCATTGCTTGAAAGGGTGTTGCTAGACGATTCGCTAATAACTTTTACAAGAGAAGTAGATAATTACTTGTGGAGGACAAGTTTGCAGATCTAAGAGGAGAGAGATCGAAGGAATGTGATTGATTTCGATAGCGCTTTTCAAGGAGCCGTAACAGATATGATGGCCTGAATGGCCTCCTTCTCTGCTGTATAATTCTTTGATTCTATGAAATTGGCTGATGCATTCACCTCCGAAATACAAACTCACTACAATTCACACTAATGGGGAAGTGTTTTGAGACATCCTCCTCACTTGAAAGAAAACAAATGTAAGAAAAGTTATTATATTATGCTACTTCAGTACAAAATCTGAATATGCTTAAATCCTGATTGTTACCGTGACTTACGATTGATTTCATTTGCAAGATAAATGTCAAATGTGAGAAAGAAGGAGTCATTGATATAATAATGTTATGCTATTGTCTGATAGATCAGGTCTTGTTCTACATGTTCCACTGTAAACATAAATAAGGCTCAACACCTGTCGCAAAACTCAACAACAGCTTGGCTGCAATTTGCAGCAATGAAACGCCGAGTTGGAACAGTGTTGGGAAAGAGGAAACAAATCTCTGAAACTCCGAGACATGACAAACCTGATGAATCGATGAAATGGTCACCATCACCACAACCAAACACATTCACCTCTGGCGGGAATGAAACAGCGAGTACAACTGCAGTTACCCAAACACATTGTGATACGGTTGCAAATCCCAACCAGTGTTCCACCACTTTGGGTGGGTCGAATGAGACAGCATCCGTGGAAATTGAGCCGATTGCCATTGCAGAGGGCGATGCGATGATCTGCGGTGTGCATCAGACACCCGGCAACACAACATCAGGCAATGTCTTCTCTTTAACTGACTTTGAGGAAAGCCTTAAAGAGACGATAACGAACAAAGGTAAATAGATTATTAAGTACTTTTACACACAAGTACATAACTTTATCTCAACAGCCTTGGAACTGGGAGATCAGTCAATGTCTATTTGGATTGAGCAAACTCCCACATGTTTAATGGGATTTGTTTGATGGTTCATGAACCAAATACCAGGTGGTGACAGACCAGCCAGCCTGGCAGATGGGCAGCTCTTGCAGTGAACGACCAGTCAGCCTGGCACATGTGCAGGCCTTGCAATGACAGGTTAGCCAACCTGGCACATGGCCAGGTCGTGCATTGACAGACCAGCCAGCCTGGCACTTGGGCAACTCTTGCAGTCACAGACCAGTCCTGGGGGAATGAATTATTCAAAATCAGCTCCTGTTAACGCCGCAAGCCCTTATGGTAGAGTGTACAGTCCACATGTATGCGGATGACACACAAATCTACTTCTCTGCCTCTGGCCTCTCCCCCATTTACGTATCCCAGTCCGCTAATGTCCTGTCAGTTTGTATGACAGCCAACAAGTACTGGATGAACGCAAACTTCCTGCAGCTCAGCGTTGGCAAGACGGATATAATATTTGGCTCCCACCATCAACTTCTGTCCTATGGGTCCGAATTCCTCAACCTCCCCAGGATCTCCCTCAAACTCACTCCAAAGAAATGCGCAACCGTGGAGTCAGATTCGATCAACAGCTTTCTTTCTCCCCCACATCCGTTGCCTGACCAGGACCTTGACTTTCCACCTCTGCCACATTGCCCACCTCTGTCCAAACCTCACACCCACAGCAGCCAAAACGTTCATGCACAACTTTGCCAAAGCGACTGTGACTGTGAGCCCTGTGGGCGAATGTGACAATATGCACTTATCAATGTCACTCAAAAAGCCATGGAGTGAGAGACCAATTTAATTTGGGGATTTGTTATCCAGGACATAGAGAGACACTCTCTTTTCTTTAATAACTACCAAAGCATCAACAAATGGACTTTGGTTTAGTACGTTGTCTAAAAATGGCAGCTCAGCAGCGAACGATACCCAGCAGTGTGACCTGCATTTCAGTGAGAGGATATGAGTTGCTTTTCACGCCGTGCGGCTTGATCCCGCAAAATTCAGACTCTGGCATTAATATGTTCAACTTTATAGATTTAATAAATGCGTTCCAAATTATGAAGGGTTCTGATGGTTCAGAGAGGGAATAGCTGTTTCCTCTGGTGGTTGGGTGGGTAACCAGGGGGACACCGACTTAAGGTAATAGGCAAAAGAACCAGAGGGGTGTCCTACAGTGGATTGCCAGGTTCGTCTATGAGGTCAAAGCCCTAATGTGGAGTTTGAACCCACAACCTTCTTTCTCAGGAGCGAGAATGACACCAACATAGCCAGGCTGACAGCTGCCTGATGGTAGCTATTAAATTGTGTTTTAAGCTAATGGATGTTGGTTTATTCTGAACGTTTGCAATAATAAATGTGGTAATATTTTCGGAAATATATTTCAAGGAACAAAAGTTAAATCATGACTGACTTAATGTTTTTTACGGTTGCTGAAGGTACAAACACCTTATTCCCTGAGACCCTGGCCCTGTACGATGATCACCAGCTGCACAAACTGACAGAGTTCTGCCGAGACAGATTGGAACAGGCCATTGAGGAAGGCGTGGAGGACATCAGCTCAAGGCTGACTGAGAAGGAATGTTTCAGTCCGCAGGAACACAAAGTAGGTTTGAGTCAGGAGATTTCCCTTTCATTTCCTAAACTCTCAGTTAATCTGTGCCTGTCTGCACAGCTCAGGTGCAGCTGTTATCATGAAATCGGCAGAATGGCAATCAAAACTTAACCAACCAGATTTGTTATAATACAGGACATGCAGTATATGCCTCTAGTGGAGCAGTACTGCACAGTGTAAGACGTGTCTGTTTATATAGCGTTTAAATAACTCCGTTCACGTGGTGAGGCAGTCTCAAGGCACTCACAGTAGAGCCTGAGCTGGATTTGGGAAGGGAAGTGGAGGGAAGGTGATCAAAGGCATAATCACAGAGGAAAGCAGTTTGTGGAGGGAAGAGATAGCAAATCCAGCGAAGCCATCAATGGAGCTGGGTGTTGCTGATCACTCTCACTGCTCATGTTTCACTCCATCTTCAATACATTAATGCTCACTCTCTGCAGAAGCTCACTGAGCTCACACACAGTGGGCAGAAGACACAAAGCTCGAAATTTCTTCTGAACCTGGTGATGGGAAAAGGTTCCCATGCCCTGAGAGTGACGTGGGAATCCTTTGTGGAAATGAGGTCCACTTTGCCCAAACTGAACAAAATTATGACTGAAATACAGGAACAAGGTAATGTGTGATGATACACTGTGCCTCCATTCTGTGGTGAGTTACACATCTTACTCAAATAGTATTGAGACAGAGTTCGTTCAAACTAGTAATATTAATTCTATTCAAACAGGTGCCAGTCTGGTGGATGAGGTGACCATTGACCGAAGTATTCCAGACGTCCCCATTAATATGATAGGTATGTGACAGTGACAAGATTCAAGCCAGTCAATCACTTCTGAAATACACAGTTTAATACTTTTCCATTTACTTGATGATTTCCAGAAAAATTCAAATGAGGATGAGAGAGTGTAGGAGGCAGATAAAGAGGGAGAGGAGGGGAGAGGGGAGGATTGCAAATAAGGAGGGAGGGGAATGATCCTTATTCGATTCTTACATATTTCAGCAAATATTGCTTTGCAATGATTTTTCTCAAAATAAATTAGAGATAACGTCTCACAAGTCGTCATATAATGGCGTGAAAAGCTTCCATGGTGTACATGTAATTCAGATTTTTAACCCTTGTTTGCCTGCCTCAATTGGTGTTCCTTTTGTCTCGGAGTCAGAAGCTGTGGGTTCACGTTCATATCAACTGGATGCGTTGACACTCCAGTGGGGTATATGCATTGTTGGAGATGCCGCTATTGGGATATAAAACCGAGGTCCTGTCTAACTTTTCAGGTGGACATTAAAAACTTCACAATACGATTTGAAAAGAGAGGGAGTTTCTCTCTGCCGTTTCCTAGCCAAAATCTCTCAAATAAATGTGGTCAATCACTTCACGGCTGCGTGTGGGACATCGCTGTGCACAAATTAGCTGTTGCGTTTGCCAACAAAACAAAGCCACTGCACCTTACAGTAAATCTATCAGCGCTTTAGGTAGTCCTACTGCCTTGAAAGGCCATGAATGATTCTAAGTATTATTAACTAATAAAGCTCAATAATTCTTCTATTTACTTTATGATTTTGTAATGTTCAACATGAAGCTATTCAGCGACTGCACAAGGAGACGTTACAGAAGCAATGTGAGAAACTGGAGGTGAAGACCATCCTGATAAAGGAGAAGGTGAGGACGTTTCAGTTGGTTGATCTCTACACGGAGTTAACAATTATTTCTGATGTACGTGACCGGGAACTGGTAGAACATGAGCTGCTGGCGAGAGGCAGAGAACACGAGGAGTGGAGACAGAAGCAACTCCAGAGAGAGCTGGAAAAAATCCGAACTGATAAACTGTTCCACAGCAGCTTCTCAAAAGGAAGTCATTTACATTCCTCTCAGGGAAGCGCTTCTGACTCTCCCACTGGGATTTCCGCAGTAGTCAGTGGAGTGGCTGGGATTGGCAAAACAACCATGGTGCAAAAGATTGTCCATGACTGGGCCACAGGCAAAATTTATCCTCACTTCCACTATGTATTTGTTTTTAAATTCCGAGACCTAAACAAACTTTACGACAGAACAACATTGGGCGTTCTAATGGTGGAGCAGTATCCTTACCTCAGGGATTTTCTGGATGAGCTGTGGAAACATCCAGAGAGATTGCTCTTTATATTTGATGGTTTGGATGAATTCAGGACAAGGATTGATTTCGCTGACAGTCGGAGAGACACAGAGCCTCAGCGCAAGTGCACAGACCCTGAATGTCTCTGTGATGTGTCTGACATTGTGTACAGTTTAATACAGAAAAAACTGCTGCCAGGCTGCTCAGTGCTGGTGACCAGCCGCCCCACTGCATTACATTTGCTGGCAAAGGCTCGGGTCAGTGTCTGGGCTGAAATCTTGGGGTTTGTGGGTGACGAGAGAAGGGAATATTTTCACAAGTTCTTTGAAGATCAGGAGGTGGCGGCAGCTGTTTACAGCCACGTGGAGGAGAACGAGCTCCTGCACACCATGTGCTGCAACCCGTCCTACTGCTGGATTCTCGCTCTGTCTCTGGGTCCCTTCTTTACACGGACACGCCGCAACAAACAGCAAGTTCCCAAGACAGTCACACAACTCTTCTCCTATTATATTTACCACATCCTAACACATCATAGTGTCAAGATAGAAAGCCCCCGTGATGTGATGCTGAAGATTGGTGAGATGGCCTTCACTGGAGTCTCCCAGTGCAACATTGTCTTTACTGATGAGGATCTGAGCAAAACTAAGCTCGAACCTTTCCAGTTCCTCTCTGGCTTTCTCATGGAGCTTGTGGAGAGAGAGTCTTCAGAGCACAGCGTGGTGTACACCTTCCCGCACCTCACCATCCAGGAGTTCTTAGCCGCACTCGCTCAATTCCTGTCTCCAAATACAGAAAGTATTCAGGAAAGACTTTATCAAACTTGCGGTGAAGATGACGGCCGGTTTGAGATATTCCTGCGCTTTGTTGCGGGTCTCTCCTCCCCACGGGCAGCTCAGCCACTGGGGAAGATTCTGGGTCCATTTGTCGAACAGACAACCTTCGCAGTGATCAATTGGCTGAAGGTGAAATTTGGAGCTGACACGAAATTCAGCAAGAGCACCAGGGGGAAAAGAAAGCTGCTGAACACACTCCACTATCTATTTGAATCTCAGAATCAAATCCTGGCACAGCAAACACTGGGCTCTGTACAAACACTGGCATTTGGTGATGACTCTTCCAGCAAAGCATTGAGACTAACACCGATAGATTGTGTTGTGTTGTCTCAGGCCATTGGACTGTGTGACACAATAAAACTGCTGGATCTGAGGAGCTGCTACATTCAGGATGAGGGTCTCCAGCGTCTGGTTCCTGTTCTGCATAAGTGTCAGGAGTTGCAGTAAGTTTACTCTGTTTGTATTTCGTTTTCTTATTATTCTGATTTCAAAGCTACAGACTGTACTGGCATTAAAACAAACAGCTGATCAATTGAAGAATGATATCGCACAGCAGGAGGGAATAGTTGTTGACACTTTAGTGGCCACCACACACCACGCTGGGGGATTGGAAGGTGAAATACTCTCTTACTAATGTAAACCTTGCTGATCCACATTGCGAGCCCTTTTATGACAGCTTGTTGATGTTATTGGGATTCGTTGCTGACTCACTACTGGAATATTCACTTGATTCAATATGTTGTGACGTGAATCAGATCACACAGACCGGAGTTTGCGCTCATCGAGTTAATTCAGTGGTTTCGGTTTATTCATACAACAGTGGGGCTTTATCTTGACACCAGAGTCTCTGCTACTCCAGAAACTGTCCTAACCTCTAACCCTATAAGCTTCCCCCAGCTCACGCCCCAAGGATTGACACCTGTGAACCATGTGTTTAGGACGGAGGCTTCCTTTGTCCTCTCCTACCAGCTTCAGAACCACCCCGGGCTGTGGTCCAGGTCTGAGGGCTGGGACACCACATTTATCCAGGGTCAGTTACTCTCTCCATTACATTGGTTATAATTCGGTTACAACACATTTCACCCCAAACACATCTCCCAGAGCTGAAATCAGCCTGGCAGTTGTGGTTTCTTTAGCTAAGATTCTCCATTTCCAGCTCCTGAGATCTCCCAGCCACAGAGTTTCACTTGCCAAGTTCTGGAATCCACATTCTTTGGAGAATAAGAGAATAGCTTCACAACCACTGTACTGAACCGGGAGATGACAGTCCAGGCTGGCTAAAGCGAAGTCAATAGTTTTATTCACAAACTGACGGAATGTGGCAATGTTGCTGAAATAGAACCAGAGTAAACTGCGTTGCTGCCAGATCCAGGCACTGCGTAGCTCCCTTCTGTATGTACACCCAGCAGCCCAGCATGTTAAGATAGCTTGCTGAGAAATGGTGCTGTGTCAAATGCAACGCTTATTATCCTTATTATTATGGTCATAAGCTGTCTCTCACACCAGCTTAACTCTGCCTTCAGAAACCGTTTCTCTCCCAGCCGCTACACGTTCTCGTTCCGTTTTCGTAAGGGCTCTGTCCTCGGTCCTCTCTTCATCATCTATATGTGCTCCCTCTTGGCGACATAATCCACAGACATGGAGTCAACTTCTACATGTATGCGGATGACATCCAACTCTAACCCTCTGCTTCCACACTCGAATATCTCTCAGAGTTCAAGTGCTGGATGAGACCTAACTTTTTACAGCTGAACGTCAGCAAGAACTAGGTCCTCCTGATTGGCTTGCATCAGCAACCCCCCCAACTTAGGCACTGGCAGAATCAGCATCCATGGTTGCACAATCCACCTCACCAAAAGTGTCAGGAACCTGGGCGTCTTGTTCGACGCTCAACAGTCCTGTATCATTCATATCCTTAATATTATCCGCTCTGCTTTGCTCCACTTCCACAGCATTGTCCGAGTCCAGGACTGCCTCAAGCCCCAGGCCGCCAAAGCCCTCAAATATGCTTCCACTATATCCGGACTCAGCGTGTCCAATGCTCTGCTTGTCGGCTTTCCCAAATCTTACCTCCACAAGCTGCAGATCATCCATAATTCTGCAGCTCATATCCTATACCGCACTATACCCTGTGACCCTATTTCCATCAACTTGGCTCCACTGGCTCCCCATCCCTCAGCGAATAGAAATCAAAATCCTCGTACTCACTTTCAAACTCCTCCTACCTCTCCAATCTTCTAATCGCCTATCAACTTGCCCGCTCCTTCCATTCAACACGCTGTGGCCTCCTCCGTACCTCCCGCCCGATGCCCCCTAACATCGGCGGCCGAGCTTTCATCCTCTCTGACCCCATCCTTTCAAACTCCATCTCGCAATCCTTTCGACTCGCTGCCTCCCTTGATCTGTCGCCTGAACAGGGCCTGAACAGCCGCCCATGGACTCAGCTGGTCCCACAGCCCTGTCCTCACCCCCCGATCATTTACATAAATATGACTGGCTATGGATACCGGCCGTGGGCAAGGATAGTAACCTGGGCTGAACAGCTCTGAAATGAGGACTTGTAGTACGGATGCAACTATATGGGTGTGGGTGGTGGGGTGGGGGCGGGGGTGTTGGTGATTTCTGTTTATTGGGTTATGGTGGGGAGTGATGAGATCAGTCACACCTTTACTGTGTCACACAAATGGGAGTGAGTAAACTGCCGGGCGGCTCTCACTGCTCTTCGACAGTATCTCGGGCAGGACCTGCTGCGCTGCGGACAGGACAACGGAAGCCTGTGTCCTAGTCATATGTGCCGGAGGAGCCTTGGCTGTTGTCTGCGCGGAGTTAATGCTGTGGGGCCTCAGCTGTTGGAACTAGAAGAGGATAATGGCTTAAAGGGACAGGTGTGTCAACACAGGGATCTGCCACACTTGGGTGTGCGACAGGGTGGTTGTGGTGTTTCCCAACGTTACCAACCTGTTCATTGCTTCCGCTCGGCGGGCACTGGCCTACTCCATGTCCCCCTCCCTGCCCTCTCCAGCATCGTCAGTCGTGCATTCTGCCCGCATCCTCTGGAACTCAATCCCAGAGAACCTCCATCCCAACACCTTTCTTATCTCCTTCAAAGCCCGTCTCAAGATCTTCCTCTTTGACCCTCCGTTCGGTTTTCCTCCCACCCAAATCCCTCTCTGATCACAACGCGCAGCTCAGTTTCAAACCCTCATTGTATGGCTCCTTGTGAAACTCGATTTGATATTGTTGCCTGGGAGACTGTTGGCCGCTCGAACCTTTCAACTCCTTCCCTTTAAATGCAATATATTTCTCAGCTGTTTTGCGAATCAAACCGACTTAGGAACGATGTGTTTGTGAGCGCCGAATGTCTCTGAACCTGGTAGCAGCCCCTTCGGAACATGCTTCTCACATGAAAGCCTACTGCGTATAGATGCCAATGTTTATTTTATTGTTATCCTACATTCACTGTGTTTCTGTCTCTGTGTCCAGGCTGGGGGTCAATAGCATTGGAGATTCTGGAGTGAAGCGAATGTGTGAGGCTCTGAGGAACACACATTGTAAAATAGAGAAACTGGAGTAAGTAGCTATCGTGTCAGTATCTGGTTGTTAACATGAATTATTATAACCTGAGCAGTTGTCGATGTATTCATTCTGAGATCATAAATGCTACAATAGACACAATATTTTCAGCTGGGAAGGTTGTGAGTTGTTGGTGTTTTCAGCCGGAAATATCTCATTGGGGACGCAATGCAACTTTAGTCGGATAAACTGCAGCAGACACGCACACCACAGCACCCCCACCTCCCCCCCCCCCCACAAACCACACTCCCTCCTAGCCACACGCGCCCTCCTCTTCCCAACACAACTCTGGGACACTCAGTCTGTTTTCGAATTTCACCAACCCACACCCAAACCTTCAATCCTGAATGTAAGTGTCTATTCCAAACACAGCTATATTTTAAAGTGAAGGCGGCAAAAATGTCAGGAGCCGGCCCTTTCCTTCAGTATAAGACAACGCAACCCATCCAGAATCTCTAACTATTTACGTTATATTTACTCTGATCTCATATATCTCCGTGCATCTGATCCCCCCGCTGTGCAATAAACAGTAATAAACAATGTGTTTACTCTGATGTCTGCTATTTCTCTGTGGCTCTGATCTCCAGGCTGGGGGATAACAACCTGACAGCTGATTGTACCGAGGATCTGGCCGCCCGCTCTCACCACAAACCACTCACTGACCGAGCTGGACCTGAATAAGAATGAACTGGGAGATTCCGGTGTGACGCGATTGTGTGAGGCCCTGAGGAATCCGGAGTGTAAAATAAAGAGTCTGTGGTATGTAACACATTGTATCTCCAGAGTCTGAATGACTCCAATATCTCAATGTGTTTACTGTGATGGTCTGATCAGTGCGCCTGAATATTGTGAAGGAATCGGTGTGACAGTGCGAGGGCACAAGCCATCGTTTACATCAAACTCTCAACACGTATTAGTAATACACCAAGTGCTGGAAACCTCAGCTCTATTACCATGTGGACAGTCACAGCTCTGACCCCTAAACTGGCTCCAGCCCCACACCCGCTCCCATTGTGTCTAATCCCGAAGCTCCTGCCCTGGTCCCGTCAATCCCTCCACACACTGTGGGTTTGTGTTCTCCACTATTGTCAGACGGGTGTCTGACACACACACAACCTGGCACCAGGCTTCAAACTCTCCAAACCAACCTCCTGACAGTTCCAAATCTGACAGGAGATATGTGTGTGTGGGGAATGGAGGCACATCCTCTGTCCGGAAGGACACCCCCTGCTCACATCATCCCAGATATTATTAGGAGCAGTTTGACCAGTGTCAAGGCTTGGGGACCCGTACTTGGCTTTAAGTTCACTTGTGGAGTTGAAGCTGTAGATCTTTGCTTCCCGCTGCCTATCTTGTTGGGATCAGCGCTTCTCTCTATCTCCGTCTCTCTCGGAGCGCTTTGGCTTGCGTGCTGAGCAGCAGCTGTAAGGATAGTCTCCCTGCCCGCAGTGACTGGTCTCACCTGCCAAGTCCTGCCGATGAGCCAGGCTTGGCTTTCTCTGTCAAAACAACAACAACTTGGATGTATATAGCGCCCCTCCACGCCGGACGACGTCTCGGCGCGCTTCACAAAAACGGATCCCAGAACCGAGCCAGGGGAAAGGGCATGATGTTGACGAAAGTCGCCGTCGTAAAGAAAGGTCTTCAGACGTGATCTGAAAATAAGAAGTGAGGGAGCGAGGCGAAGGGAGTGACGAAGGGAGTTCCAGTGCCTCGGGGCATAGTGGCTGAAGGCACGGCCGCCGATACTTGAGCGGATTCGGGGGACAAGGACAAGGTCAGACTCGGAGGAACGAAGGCAACGAAAACTTTTTATGAGTAGGGAGGAGGTCAGAGAGGTCGGAGGGGGCAGAGAAGAGGAGTGATTCGAACACAATAGCGAGGATCTTGAAGTCGTTCCTCTACGGGAGAGGCAACCAGTGAAGTCGGCCAAGGACTGGGGTTATTGGGAGCAGAATTTGTTCAGCGCAAGGAATGCGGGCAGAAGAGTTTTTTGATGCCTTGAATGTTATGAATGTAATGGAGGGGAAATCGGCGAGGAAGGCATTTGATAGCTGAGCCAAGAGGTGACAAAGGCACAGACAAGGATTTCTGTGGCTTTGGGGTGAGGTATTGAATATGCTGTAATCAGCAATGAATGTAATTGTATTCTGCAACCCTCTTGGCTCAGGAACTCGACTTGTGATCGTCACACATGATGCAGACCGTCACTGACAAGTGCGCTGTTTTTCGTGTTGTGTGTTTGTGTACGGGTCGGTGTTATGTTCGTGTGTGGGGGGGTGGTATGTGTATGTATGTTTATATTTGTGTGGGTGGTACGTTTGTACATTTTAGGAGTCTGCATGTGTGTGTCTGTATGCGTGTGTTTCTGTGTAGTGTGCCTGTGTGCGTGTGCATTCCTGCAAACTGTATATCTCACTTATGCAAGAGTTTGGGGATTTCCTGAGCCGAGTTATTTAACTGACTGTGTTCAACGATTTCATCCATATTCCCAACCGGCTTTCGCCTCCGTATGGAAATATATTTTCGGTGGAGAAATCAGGTCCTGTGATGTTATTTTGTTTCGTGACCATACAGTAAAACCCCGTCGGCACAAATCTCACCAGAGGAAAGTCTACATAGCTTTAGTGATGAGATAGTCTGTTTCAACTCAGACACTGAAGTCTATGTCCTGTACCTCAATGGTTAGAGCACCCGCCTCGCTAGTGAGAGAATATGGGGATGATTCTCGAGGGCGTCAGAGCGAAACATCAGGCAAGTTTGCGTACTCCACAGTCCCCTGTTTACCAGCAGTCAGAAGGAAACAGGTTTTTAGTGAATTTGCAGACACTGAGTTACAGTGGGTTATGAACACTGTGTTTACTCTGATCCCTGTCATGTCTCTGTGCCACTAATCTCCAGGCTGTGGGTTAACAGACTGACTGACGGCTGCACTGATGACCTGGTCTCCGCTCTCAGTACAAGACGCTCACTGAGGCTTCTGGACTTGAGGTTCAATTCCTTCACAGACGGCTCTGTCCCCGCTCTCCGCCGCCTCATACAGACATGCACCAGCCTGGAGGAGATCGTGTGAGTGTTGTTTTGCATTGCTTAATGTGACAAACACACAGAGAAAGGGTTGGGTATCAGAATGGAGACAGTTTGAAGGTTTTCTTTAAAATTATTAAACCGTGACATGAACAGTTTACAGTTTGTACCATTATCCCATGGGTTTATCTTCTGTTTAATGTGTTTCAGGCTGTTTGACAATCGGTTGAGCAGAGTCGGAGAGAATCAGCTGTTGTCACTGCAGGGATTCAGAGCTGAGCTGACAGTATCAGTGAAACACTGACTGAGGCAGTGACTGTCCCCACAGTCTGTGTAATATGGAATATATTCTGGACACTGTAGACATTGATTATTAAAGATGTTAATCCTGATTTTCTCCCATCCACTTCTGGGGACCGTTATTATTACATCAACACTGACACACACCTGCCCCCGGCCTCTCCTCGTTTCTTTTTCTTTCTCTCTCTTTCTGTGTGTATGTTTGTGTGTGTGTGACTCTCTTTCTCTCTCTTTCTCAATCTTTCTCCCTCTAAGTCTTTTTTCCTCATTCTCTTTCATTCTCTCTCAGTCTCTCACATATTCTATCTCTCTCTCTGTCTCTCGGTCTCCGTTTTTCACTTTCTCTCTCTGGCTCTCCTCTCAGTCTCTCTCACAAAACACACATTCACTGCATAATATACTTTCTCTCAGTCTCTTTCTCAATCTCGCTCTCAGTCTCCCTATCTGTCTATCCCTCAGGATCCCTCTCTCTCTTCCTCTGCCACTCTCTCAGTCTTTCTTTGTCTCTCGCAGTCATTCTATCTCAGTCTCTCTCAGTCTCTATCTTTTTCTCGCTCACGTAAAACACAAAAACTATATTTCATAATACATTTTTTCTCACCGTTTAAGTGGAAATTGTCCCCAATGCTGCATTATTTAACCATATAAACCGCTTTTTGCACTAACTTATTCTTTTGACTTTAATCCGAAAACCAAGCGACAAACATAAGTAGCGTGTTATAGAATCCCCAGATATTCAGGTTTCAAAGTGCAACAGTGCATAATATTCCCAATTCAGCATTGATATTAACCAAATAAACTGCTTTCTCCATTATCTCATTATTATAATATTCGGCCCTTGAGTAACACACGAGAAAATGGGTTTGCAAATTACCCACATTCCCGGTGTTCAAAGAGTAACAATTCATTAAACCCCAATTTATAATGACATGAAGCGGGTTATAAACTCCCCAGAACCCCAGAATTTTAAGTGCATCAGTGCAAAACATTCCTAACTCGGCATTAATATCAAATATATGAATAGATTGCTGGCGTTAACTTTGTGTGTAGATTTTAACCCCAAACCTGAGAAAAACAAATGTAGCGGATCAAAGAATACCCAGAACCCCGGGGTTCAAAGTGCATCAGTGCAAAATATTCCCAATTTTGCATTAATATTAACCAAATAAACCACTTTTTCCATTAACATTTTGCATTAACTGTGCAAGTCACGGACCATGTAGCTCAGGGGTTTAGACCCTTCGCCTCGCAAGCCAGAAGACTGTGAGAGAGAGAGTGTGAGAGGGAGAGAGAAAGAAAGAGACTGTGAGAGAGTGAGTGTCGGAGAGAGAGACTGTGTGTGTGAGAGAGAGAGAGAGAGAGAGAGAGAGACTGTGTGAGAGAGACTGTGAGTGTGTGTGAGCGAGAGGGACTGAATGTGCAAGGGAGAGGGAGAAAGAGAGAATGTAAGTGTGTGAGAGCGAGCGAGAGAGAAAGAGTGCGGAAAAGGGAATATTAAAACAACAGACAATACACTTTCCAGCGAGACACACAATCACTATCCTTTACGTCACGTCCTTGTTCCTCTCTCTCCCCCTCTCTTCCCATCCGAGAAAACAGTCACTTCCCGTTATAACACTGTTCGTGTCTCTCTCTCTCTCTCCCTCCCTCTCTCCCTCAGCCACAAAATACAGTCACTACACTTTACTGTGTATCCTATCAAGCGCTTTGGGACGTCTCGAAGATGTGATGAGGCGCTATAACAATCACAAGGATTGTTACTATCATCAACAGTGGGTTACGCCACCCCAACACAACCGCAAATAATCCTCCTTCCCTTTAAGAAAGGAACGCCCTCGCTTTAATTACCAAATTTAGTACACAGACTGAAATACGTCATGCAGCACCCCCCCTCGCGGCCGCCCCACCTCTAGCGTCAACCCAACCCCGACCCCGCCACCACCGAGCTCGAGCCCCACCTCTAGCATCCATCCCACCCGAGCCTCAGACACATCCCTAGCCCCACCTCCAGTTGCTGCCCCGCCCCCAGCCCTCGTCCCGCCTCTAGAAACAGCCCCACCCTATCACCGCCCTACCTGTCTCCAGATTGCAACAGAGCTTCCAGCGACTGATTGAAAGAGAGAAAGAGTGAGAGAGAGGGAGAGATTTCATTCAAAAAGCGGTTGACATGTTTCAGGTTAATGCAGAATTACGGATATTTTGCACTGATGCACTTTAAAACCTGGGGATCCGGGACTTTTAAACCCGTTTCCCGTGTTTGCACCCAGAGAGCGGGTTATTATTGAAACACAAAATTGATGCAGAACCCCATTGAGATCATTGGGATTAATGCAGAATTAGGAAGATTTTGCACTGATGCAAACCTGTTTACCATGTTTCTGCAGAATTTGTGGGTCAATTGACCTAAATTGCATTTTTGGGTGAACTAACATTTAAAAATAATAATTTCAGCATCTGACGTCGCTTGATTATTTTGTTTTTTAAACACAAAAAATAATTTAAATGAAGATGTTTTTCCCCCCGGGATTATGAATCGTCACCAGGAGAGAAGGTGCGGGGCTCGAACTCGCGGCTCACGAGTCTGGGTGGGAGAGGGGCAGCGTCTGCGCACGCGCGCGTGGCTGTCGGTGACGGTACGAGGGAGACCGGGCGGGAGGGGCAGCGACCGCGCGAGACTTCAAGAGAAACC